TTACGGCCAAATAAGAGTTTTTCTTTCTTTTTTTCTTTTTCCGTCAACATCGATGAAAACTAACGTTCAATTGAATATTTCAACTCAATCATAATCATCGTCAGTCGTTTATTTCACTAACAATCTTGTATGGGTAATACAACATCGGAAGTTGCTTCTGGCGTTAAAGCTCAAATAAATTCAGGTGGACAGGGACCTGAACTTTATCGTTTTGTTGATATGACAGTGAATATATATCTTCTTTATTATATTGATATTTAACACGAAAAAAAATCCATATTTAGGGTGGTGGTGAATTTGTTGAAGTTATGCGTGTTGCGAATCGTACAAAAGATTATACACAAATTGATGCACTTATACGTGAACATATTCCAAGATTTCTTTATAATGATGGCGAAGGAAAATTGGTGGATAGAAAAAAAAAAATTTCAGACTTTATTATTTAAAATATCGTTTTTTTTCAGGTAACAATTAGTGAAATTGTTCGACGACGAAATAATACATTTACTAAAGTTAAAAATATCGTTTCAACAGCTAAACCCCTTGAAGAAGAACAAGCAAACGGTTATTTAAAAAAATAAATGAATAAAAAAGAAATTTCTAATATGTATCATTTATTTTTAAAAAAATCTAGGAGAAGAAGCAAAACATGTTTGTTGGGATCTTGATCAACGTGGTGGTGTTGGTGAACAAATACTTCATCTATGTTTTTTATCATCAAGTCCTGTTCATACAGCTTTAGCTAAAAGACTTTTAAGACATTATCCAAAAATGATTGATGATTTATATATGGGTGATGAATATTATGGTTGATTAAATTGAATAGAACATTTCATTTTTAGTTTATTTAATTATTTCATTTGTTTTTTTTAATTAAAGGTGAAAATGTTCTTCATATTGCTATTGTAAATGAAGAACCAGCAACAGTGAAATTTTTGCTGGACGCTGGTGTAGATTTTACACAACGTTGTTGTGGAAAATTTTTTTCACCAGAAGATCAAAAATCGAGTCGGTATGATAAGACAAAATAATAATCAGTTTATTTAATATCATTTTTAGAGTGGATAATGTAACAAAAGAATGTCCAGATGTAAGTGTAGCAACAGATTATGAAGGTTATTGTTATTTTGGTGAATATCCACTTTCATTTGCGGCTGTTCTACAACAAGAAGAATCTGTTAGATTATTAATTGCTAAAGGAGCTGATACAAATTGTCAAGATTCAAATGGAAATACTGCTTTACATATGTGTGTTATCTATAATAGGATTGTTAGTGTTTAATTGTTTGTTTATTTCATTTTATTAATTATTTTTATTTTGAATAGCAAATGGTTGATTTACTTTGTGAATTAGGTGCATCCTTAGATATTAAAAATCGTCAAGGTTTAACGCCATTAACACTAGCTGCTGTTAAAGCCCATAAAGATGTAAGAAAATTCGTATCGTTTATTTCTTTTTTTTTTATGAAAATAATGTTTCGGATTTGATTTAGATGTTTGATCATATTCTACAGAAAACTCGTATTGTCTATTGGCAATATGGAAATGTAACATGTGCTGGTTATCCATTAGATGATATTGATACGATTGGAAAAGATGGATCATTGAATGATACTAGTGCACTTAATATTATTGTACGAGGAGTAAGTAGAAAAAGAATAATTGATGGATGCATAACTCAGGCAAAATCGAAGATTTTTCTAACAATCTGAAGTATATTCTCTCATATATAACAAATAATCATAGAAAATTAATCTCTATAGTTTGTACTAGTCAAAAACTTGGATAATTTTTAAATTCATTATATCACTTTGTTACAGCAAACGCCAAACGAGATATAAATGATTTTGACAATGTAAATCCATGAATTTCCCTAAACTCTCTTTTTTCATAAATCCTAAGATAGAAAATTCTGAAACGAAAATGGCATATATGGACATTGTTTAGATGTGAAGATTAAATCAGTATATGCAATGCCTTTATTTATTAAATGTGTATAGGCTATGCAAAACTAAGCTTTTTTCTTTATAGGAATCAGCTGGTCATTTAGATATGATGGATGGTTTGATTGTTCAATTATTAAATGAAAAATGGCGAACATTTATAAAATTCAAGTAACAATATTTTTCATTAAAAATAAGATGTATTGATTTTTCTTTTCAAAGATTTTTTCAACGTATGGGTATTTTTGTATTTTATTTTACTATCTGTTTACTTGCATTGATTGTTCGTGGTTATTATCGTGTTCCACCATCATGTATTGTTCATGAAATAATTGATAAAGAAGAAAATAAACTGAAATCCATAATAGCTGATCGTCCAGAATGTAAATGTCATTATACAAACTTTTTATGGCAAACAAATTTATTTGATAATAAGAATCGTACAAACATAAGTATGAGTATGATTATGAAAAATATTCCAAAAAAACGTCAATTCGAACCAACAGCATTAGTAAGAAATCGAAAAATAAAAAGGATTTATATTTCAATTGATTTTTTTTCTTTCTTATTAGGCTCTTAATGTTCTCGATGGATTGAGCGTTCTGGGCTCGTTTATGTATCTCATAATAACAATACGTGAATTATCTTATCAACATTTTAAATTAGATTATTTTATTTATGTTAATGATCCAACAAGAGTTTTATTTCTTTTTTCTTGTTTATTAACAGTAGCATTGGTGCCAGCTAGATTTACATGTTCTATTGCTCTTGATGATATACTTTGTACTTATTCTATACTTACTCGAGCACCATATTTTTTCTTTTTTTGCCGGTAATATAAAAATTTTAAATTTGAATAATTATTAAGTAGAATTTTTTTTTTTATGTTTAGAGGTTTTCGTTCGACTGGTCCATTTGTTGTTATGATATATACAATGATTCGGGGTGATTTATTACGTTTTTGTTTAATATTTTTTGTATTTATGGTTGGATTTTCTCAAGCATTACATGTTCTTTTTGTACGAATTGAATGTGAAAATGATTTTGCAACAGTTATAAAAACATTTTTTCGAATGTTTTGTGTTACACTTCAACAAATTGCTGATGCATATAGAAATTTTTATTTACATCCTAATACTGGTATTCAACTTATTGGAAAAGTAAATAATAAAAAAAAAAACTCCTTCTTTTTAAATAGTTAACATCATATTTTAGATATGCTTTGTAACTTATCTTGTTACAGCAGCTGTACTTCTTGTTAATATGCTTATCGCTAGTATGTTGTTGTAATTCTTTATGTATATATATATATATTTCTTTTTTTTTAATTTTAAAAAATGCATTTAGTGATGGGTAACACATATGCAATGGTAAATGAACGAAAAAAAGAATGGCTCCGACAATGGGCAAAAATTATGTTAATTGTTGAACAATCTGTTTCACGAAAAGAACGTTTAGCTCAACAATCAAATTATTCAAAAAAAATGCCTGATGGTTCAAGAATTTTAGTAACAAGATTAATTCAAACTGTATGTACTTTTATTGTAAACAATGAAAAATATTTTATGAGTTTTGTTTTATTAAAGTCTGATGAGCGGCTTGCAATTGAAAATATGCGTATAGATTATTATCATCAACTTCAAAAACATTTAGAACCAGAAAGTTTATCAACACAATCAAAAGCAAAAATAGCTGCAGCTAATTTACAACAAAACTCATCCGTGCGAGGAAATGTTGTAGCGAAAACAAAACAAGATTTGCTTCGTAATCAACATGCACAAGATAGTTTTAATTCATTTGATACTAATACACATAATTAATTTAAATGAAAAAAAAAAATTCCTTTTTTTTTGGTTCGATATGAGTTTCGAAACATAAATCCGATATTTCCACAAATCCTCTTCTCTTTCCCTTTTTTTTTACCTTTATGGAAAAATGATTTGTAATTTTTTCCTATTTTTAATAATACAATAAAACTACATGAACTAATTTTTTGATAGAAAAAAAAAAGATTTTGAATGATTGAATCAAGTTTTGTATGTCCTGCCAAAAGTTTAAATATTCTTTATGGTGAATTTTATTGTCAATATCTTGAGATATTGTTTGACTTTATTCTTTGAATCGTAAAGACTTAGAAGAAATAAATTCAAAAAATCATGCCGAGATATCATGTCACGCTGTTAGGAAACTATGCGATGTAAAGGCGACTATAAGTTTGTAACCGTTCAGTACGAAACTTAAAATGATCTTTAAAATATTGTTGCTGCCAAAATTGTCTAGTTATGATGGCCAAAAAAAAACGGAAAAATATTGCAAAATTTTTCTAACAACGATTGTCTCAAATGATAAGCACGCCAAAAGATTCACTATCTTTTCAATATAGTTATGTTTCAGAATTTTAGAAGAAATATTTTTACGAGAATAATCATGAAATAAAAATGAGGCAAATGTCTTGTATGACGGCTTATGTGGTTGTTATTTTTTATTTTGGTACAATCTAATCGTTTATATTCTTCAACTTAGTAGTCACAACATTTTATTTAAAATTAAATGCTACATCGGGCAGCACGAGAATTCTCGCTTAAGAAAACAACGTTGTTCGATATGTTTAGCTTCTTTTCTCATAAATGATAGCAACAAGTACTTTGAGAAAGTCGTGGAAGTAGAAAGCACAAAATTCTCCGTGCATTGATGTCGATTATGTTATTTTTTCGATTGATCTTTATGAGCAAATACTTGATACAGAAAACTAGAGCTAGATGATTGAGCAGACGTTCATATTTTGTTAAAGAACGGACTCAATTTATGTTCGAATAGACTCACTTCATTGGAATAATAATCAGATCACAATTCCGAAACCTATCATTCAATACAACAAGATATTTCCAATACTGAACAGGTAAGTGGAGAAAATGTTTGTTGAATCAAAATCTGGCGACATCTTATTGATGATTTAAAAGGATGAAGTTCTTAGTCGTCATGACCTTTGAACAGTTTCATGGATGCAGTTCTTTTTTTTTTTGTTTTTCAATTCATCTCTATTAAATATAATTAATTATGAATTTCGGGCATTTATTTGGAAAAAAAAGCAAATCAAAATCATCAAAAAACTCCAATGATAATGAAAAGTGAGAAATAAAATTATCTAGTAAATACAATCTTCTTAATGTTTTTTATTATCCATAGATTCGAAACAAATGTTAAAAATTCTACACAAATACAAGAAAAAATACCTGCCCGAGAAGCTATTCATTCAGATGGAGTTTTAAATGTTTATCCTGTTGATACATCAACTATTTTATCTGGTAGTCAAGATCGAGTATAATAATAATAATAATAATAAATATTTGTTTTAAAAATTTGAAAAGCTTACTATTTATTATAGACATTAGTATTATATGATTTTATTAATCATCGTATTCGTCGTCGATGGACTGGTCATGAAAATGATGTTGTGAAAGTTTTATATGGACATATAGTAAATTTAGTTGTGAGTGCATCACGTGATCGAACTATACACTTTTGGAATATAAATTCTGATTTACCTGTACAAAAATTACTTGGTCATGAACTTGTTGTAACAGCTATTGATTTTAATCCAGGTTGATGTTTATATTATAGAAGATTATTAATATTTAAAAATTTTATTAAAATAGAAAATTCAGTTTTGATTAGTGGAAGTCGTGATAATAAAATTATCTTTTGGGATACAAAAACTGGTCAAATATTGAAAAAAATAATGATCGGACGAAATTTGGTTTGCTTATGTCTTTTTTTGATTTTTCTATAAAATTAAAAAATTAATGTTTTATTCTAGATTACAGATGCTAAATGGTCTCATGATGGAACATTTATTGCACAAACAGGCGAAGATAAAGAAACCAAGTAAGAATAACTAAACATCGATCAAAAAAAAACAAAACTAAATGTTTCATTCTTTGTTATACTGAAGAAAAACAATCAATCAAAATATTTTCTTCATTAAACTATAATTTGATATTCTTAACAAGAACGAACTATTGAAAATCAATTTAACAAAATGTTCATTTAGTTTTAAAGTAGTCTGCAGATATTTTAGAACTATGAATAAGTGTCATATAAGAGTACCAATTTTTGCAATCGAACCCTGATAGCAATACTTGATACTTGTTCAGAGCTAATCGACATCCGACAGATACTTTCACAGTTACAGTATAGTTTTCAAGCTTTCATTTAATATGGAAAACGTATACTATTTGGTTTCTTCCATAGACAGCAACAGAAAAAAAACAACTGATTAAGAATTCATGAAGCACGTTTTTAGCGCGTTGCTGAGATGATACTAGAATTCTTTTAGTAACACGATATTACTTTTCCTTTCTATTATCTGTTTTCAAGTATAATAGGTTGCTCAATCATAATCGAATTGATTTTCATTTACTATATTTTTCTGTAAATAATAGTTTGAAAGTATTATGAATTCATCTTTTCGAAGTCCGTAAATAGAGTTTAGACGAACTTCAGCGCGTTAGAACTGATTTAAAGTAGAAGTGACAATTATTTCAAATATAGCAAATAAACCAACAAACATTTTTCAACAATGAGTATTTGAGTAAGGTGATATAAACTCAATGTTTTCAAATTTCTGTAGATTTCTTTAAAAACGAATAGACATTTTGTTAAATTATGTTTTGAATAGCTCGGTTAAGAATGAATTTTGTTCTATTTTTAGAATGTATGATGCTCGAAATATGACTCAAGTTGTTTCATTTCCGAAAAAGCAATATATTCAAACATCATGTGACATATCAAATGATGATCGTTATTTAGTAAGTGTTACGTATGAATTTTCTTTTTCAAATCTATATTCGAATTCTTTTTGTTTTTGTAATTTTATTGATGTCAACAAGTAATGGTTTTAATGGTAGTGGAGCTGAGATTTCTGTAAGTCGGTTTGAAATATTTTTTTGTTCATATATATTAAAATTTTATTTAGTTATGGGATATTAGACAAAGAAAATTACTTTCGGAATTTTATGGTCATAGAGCCACAGTTAATAGTGGACATTTTGTTGATCCCACAGCATCAATGATAATTTCATGTAGTAATGATGGTCGAGCAATTCTATGGAATGTTCAACAAACTTGTAAGAAAAATAGAATTGAACTAAAATAAATTTTAATTCGAATAACATTTTTCTTTTTAAAGCAATTTTTGCTGAGCTTGATGTTGATAATGCAACACCACTAACATCAATAATTGCAGTAAATACACAAAAGTAAGACGAGAAAAAAAAAGATTTTTTAGTGACATAAAATTACATATATATTTTTTTTTGGATTAGTTTTGCAACTGGTGGACTTAATGGCAAAGTCAGTTTTGTTCAACGACTCAATCGTCAGTTACAATTGACTGATCAAATATGATTTTGACATTTTCTAGTCTTTTTCAATATAACCTTGATACTTTTAATCTTCATGCAAAAAAGGAAATAAATTATTTTTCTGTATTATGTTCAGTGTACTTTAATAAATATTTATATAAACTCAACAAGAAGGTGATGTTTTTTATTAAAAGCCAATGGCGCATTTGAGTAGTAAATTGATCTAACTCTTGCATATGTCAAGAAATGGATATGTTGATTGACAGATGAAGTTTTAATAGATGAAAAAAAAATGAAGAAATAAAAGAAAAGCGAAATTGAATGATGCTGTCAAGTGGAAGTAGGTGGACACCCGAGTTGACAGAAGAAAACGAAAGCGACATTCACGTATCAGCCGACAATTATTCAACACGTTCCAGTTTTGAACAAACAGACGATAGCAGCAGTATAATGAGTGAAATTGACGGAAGACGTATTTATTGTTCTGGTCGTGATCTTCATACGATTAGTTCCGTTAGTAATACTTTATTTAATTTAATTTGAATAAATTAACTTAACTTTTTATTATTTTATTGATAGGATATTTTTTCATATCCTGATATATCCTATTTAGAACTAAGTCCAACACGTGAAGCTTGTCTTGATTTTAAATTAAATGAATTACCACGAGCTATTGGTCGTTTAACTGCATTACATTTTCTTATATTGGATACAAATAATCTTCGTACATTACCTAATGAATTATGTCAATTACGTGAATTACTTGTACTTATTGTTTCAAATAATTCATTAATTGCTTTACCTGATGCTATTGGTTATATGAAACAACTTGAAAGTATTCATTTGGCTAATAATCATATACGTGATTTACCAGCATCATTTTTTTATTTAAAAAATTTAACATTTCTTGATTTATCAAGTAATAAATTACGTCAATTATCAGATAGTATTGGACAACTTACTGAATTACGTTCACTGTTACTCTATGATAATCGTCTTCGTCTATTACCAGATACAATTAGTATGTTAAAATGTTTAACAACACTTTGGCTTGGACGAAATCGATTACGTACATTACCACGTACTTTAACTCGATTAAAACAACTCGATTGGAAACATCGTTATTTATCAACAATTTTAGATGACAATCCATTATTAAGTCCACCACTTTCAGTTTGTCGATTAGGTTTTACTGCCATTGATAAATGGCATCAACAGAATTCATCCATAGGAATTCTTGTACTCGATGATGCACAAGAAAATTATGATGGACAAAATTCAATAGTTGATGAAACAACCAGTAGATATCATTAATGAAAATCATTACACTTTTTTCTTTGATGGATCGTACAAGGAACAAATGTTTTATTGAAAGACATTGTTTTTTTTTTCATTGCGCTTTATTTCAATCAACAAGGATAAATCTATTCTAAAATTAAAAATTCTTCATTTTAGTCAATCATCATCTATGTTTGACTGGTAAATTCCCTACAAAGAAAAATTTCTAAGTATTCCGCCGAAGTAAACAATCATTCTTATTCTCTTTGAATGATTGAAATTTGTATTTGATCTTGCAGGTGATCTGTTATATAAATATTAAAATTTTTTAACATGAAAATATTTTTCTTTCTCTAAAGATATTAATTCAATCTTCTAAATTTATAATAATGTACGAAAAATTACAAATATGGAGAATCCCGAATAACTTTGATTCATTGAATGAAATAATGAACACTGATTTTCTTTTTGAGACTCGATAAATTAAATAGCAATTACACTATTTCTCCATTGATATCCCGTTCGACTATTCTAGACAGTTGAAATATTAGAAATTTCGTTTGCTATTTTATCTCTATGGGAAAGGTACTTGATGATTGTCACTATGTGAAATATGACAACGATATTTTTACTCCATTGCGGTTTGACACAATTTTACTCACATGTCATTTCTGAAGCAATGAAGATTGTATATTTCTTAAACAAAAAATATAGTTTTACTTGTTTTATATAATTATACTTAATAAAATGTGTGAATACTTTGATAGTAATGATGATAAGTAGAACATATATTCATTAATTCCTGTTTGTTTTCGAAATGGCATGAATCTTTTGGATGTTTTCACAAAAGGAATCACTTACTACTTTCATCTGATAATATATCCCATAACCACCAGTTTACTTCGAACTCATTTTTGTAATGTTCTTCATACTTTGAGTGTGACATGGATATATCTTCGGTATATTTTTGTTATTTAGAGAATCCTTATAGTAGTATATATTAGATTTGTTATCGATGATTTCATATATATCGATATTTATCATTATAATTGAACTTAGAGAAGTAAAATTTCAATTTCAAACAAGAATTTTGTTTATCATTATATTATGACTATTTTGTTCAAAAACTAATTGGTTATATTAATGTCAGGTACATTTGGAAAAAGCACACGTAATGAAAATATAAAAGCTGCATATATGCCGTTCACTTAAGAAACAATTGCACTGGACAATCACGTAAACATCAATCGCTTAAAGAGTCTGTTAAACTTAATGGACATAATGTTTCTGCTGAGGGAAAATCTTACATTTATTCGCTTCCAGCTAGTTTCTTCTTCTTCTTAAGGTACATCAATGAATGAAGCGAATATATGCATACGAATCGTTTATACTGCTGCTTTTTGAAATAAAGATACATCATTTTAGCGGAATAAGTTACAAAAATGTTTGAGAAAAATTAACTTTCAGCTCAAAACAAATCGAGAAACATTTTAACACATAAATTTTTTCTCAGAAGTTTATTAGATAAGTAGTGAAATTCAAGTTGCTATTTTTAGCAAAAATAGAAAGTTGTGATTAAACAAATTTTTAAAAATATTCTTTAAATTTTGACTGATGATTGGTAATTGAGAAGCTATATATGTAGTTTCATTGATAATATCAAATCACTTATGGCAGCAGATGTTTCAATCGATCTAAGTATTAAACAACGATAGCTTTCACATAGAGCGGCTGTTGAGGATCATTTTTATGCTAACCATAAGATAGTTTTTGAATGTAGTATATATACTTAAATAACGCAGATTTTGGTGCTCATCAATATTCACTTAGTATCCGATATGAATTTTTTGGATTTATTGTTGTGTAAGCACTATGCAAATTAGAACAAGTAAGTACAAAAAATATAGTCAAAACGAAGATGATACTACGTAATAGATAGACTTCGGTAAGAAAGAAATGAACCAAAAAGAGATGAAAATGAAAATCATATAACGTTGAAAAATTGAATATACTATGTTAAAGTATATTTGGACATAAGACGAGCGACACTACCAATAAACAACTGTTTGTTAGGCTACATAATGAACCAAGATGTGTGAATACCACAATGCTTCGGTCGAAATAACCATAGATATCTTCTGTTACTAATTGTATTTGAAAATAATACAATTATGATTAGTAGTAGTCAGCATTTGAGGAAGAAGAAACATTGTTAATATTGAAGATCACAAAGTCCAAGAAACTGAGAAAGATATACGATTTAATTTTAGAGTAACTTTTAGTTCGACACGATTTCATACAAAACTATTACTTGCACTATGATGTGATAAGACAATTTCTACTATAAATAATTATTGAATAAGATTGAGACAATATACCAAAATTCAGTAAAACAAAACATATTTCAAAGTAACAAACGAGAATAGATCACTATGATTAACAAATAAAACTAATTGTTACATTAAATACATAATGAAGATCATAATGACTGAAGTGCGTCACTCTTTCAAGGTTATTCTTTAGTTTATGTTTGTATTCAAGAAATTGGATGTTCTTCAACAGTTAGCAACCCCAAAAGTATATCAATTTCGATCATGATTGATAGAGAAGTCTTTTTAATTGAGTTTGAGACAGTATAAGCATGCATTCTCTGTAGAAGAAAGTTTTGAATAAATTATTACATTTATGAACACCACGGAAACATGAATAAATCGTTTTGTTTTAAATTAAAGCTTAGATTATTATTGAATTCCTTGCCGACTCTTATAACATACTCTTCTCAAAAGCCTATTGGAGTAAAAGCTGGAAAGAAAGTAGAATTGTATGCTTCAATAAAGTCGACAACCCAGCACCCACCACAAATCAACTTCGTCCGATATCACTGTTACCAATTTTCGGGAAAATTTACGAACGCCTATTTCTACTAAAATTTAACACATGGGTGAATAACATGAATATATTACCTTGGCAACAATCAGGCGCTCGGGCGCATATGTCTACAATGACACGCGTTAATCATTTACTTCAAAACATAACCGAATCATTATGTTATAATACATTTACACCAGTTACCTTTATCGATTTTCTTCAAGCGTTTGACATGTTATGGTACCAAGGCCTCGTACTCAAACTATATAAACTACAGTGTCCAGATGCGTATTTACATTGGATAACAAATTATTTTACTAGTAGATCCGTGATTATTGATTATGAAGGAGTTCTCTCTTCAAAAATAAACATTTACCGCGGCGCCCCTCAGGGAAGCGTATTCGGACCAATGGCATTTATTATAGCGCACTACGATTTACCATTAATCTTCGAACGACCTGAAAACGTACATCTTTACGTCGATGATTTGGCCATAGCGTATAGTCCATCGATATATTTAGATCATCAAAATCAAATAAAAAATATTGAACGGATAATGAACAACGATATGAAGAAATTATATGAATATGCCACTAACTGGCATCAACCAGTTAACGTCACTAAGAGCGAATTCGTCATCTATCATAGAGCAGTACAAAGTCCAAACATACAAATTAAATACAACGGGTCGGCACTAACGAAGAAAACAAATTATAAATACCTCGGCTTTCACATAGATGCTAAACTTTCGTTTCGCTTCGTACTGGATGATCAATTGATAAAGCTCCGTCGAGCATATGTAATATTAAAATACATTCACCATCAATTCCCATCATTCTTTACTTTAAAAAAGCGCTTTTTTACCACCTATGCATGGCCTCATATCTATTCAATATCTACAATATACTGCCTATTATCTTCAACAGCACAGCAGCGAATAAATGGATCATACAGACGATTTCTAAGGACAATTTACTGCTTATTTCAAAGTTCAAATGCTGATCTACACAATGTATTTGGTCTGCCAACGTTAGAGATGAAATACAAAAAATGTTTAATAAATAGATTCAAGAACATTCAACTCTACGAACCCGAACTCATTTCCTGCTATTTGTTAAACAAAAATATTGTCAATGTTGTCGCATCTCACTACAAAGAAAAAGCATGTATTCCATGGCTTCAACAAGGAAGACCAAACAATAGAATAGCTGCTATATACGACGATCAAAATATTAACAATAACTTTTTCGATAAATTACTGAACTTCGTATACTCATAATCATACTAATACTCGTCAAAATACATTCAATCGTACACGCCTATTTTGTCATTCGTCTTTCGTCTTCTGTCTACTCCAACCTGTATCTGAAAATAAGTAAAACCCTATTTTCAACATCATTCGACCAAATCATTATGTAATTAACTAAACTTAACTGCTCCCTATTTCTACTTCTATTCTCATCTCTTTTTCTTATTGACAAAATTTGAAACTTGTGAGTGGTCAGGACTCAATGGAGTCAATCCACTTTTTCTGTAAGGTGCTTAATTAAATAAAAAAAAAAAAAAAAAAAAAAAAAAATTATTATTGAATGATATTACCGAAGCTAATTAGAAACTTCTGAAATATGAATCATTATTTGCACGAAAAATATATGTTGTGAATTTAGTTACATACTAACAATAGAGAGAAGAACATTACTCATACTTTATAATTTTTAAGTCAATTTATTGCCCAAACAAATAATTTTTAATGAATCGTATTATAGAAAATAAATCATTTGTGTTGTTAATTTGATAGATAACTCTGTTGTAATATATATATATACGTATATATGTACCATTTATTTTAAACAAAATTTTCGACTTAATTCTTTTCGTACAAGAAATCATAAGAAAATGAATGACATAGTTTTTTTTTCAAGTAAAAACTCATTCGACAGAAGTTCTACAAATGTAAATGTGGAAATTTTTTCAGAATAATTAAAGAATAAATCTTGTTATTATAAACAGCCATTAAAAGTTTTCTCAAAGTCAAGAAATATTATTGACATTATTTTTCCTCAAAGAACCTTATCTTGAGTGTAGAACGAAAATCACTAATCAAAAGAAATCATGAATCACAGTGTACTATAAGAGAATTTTGACCCAGTGTCGATTCACAATGCAAAACACTATTCCTAGCACGTTTTTCTTTCACTTCCTTCTGTTCTCTTTCTTTCTTTATTTACCTGTAAAATACCAACTTTTGCCTTTGTACGGATGTGATGTCTTTCTTATCGGAGTTGGGAAAAAACACAATAAAAAAGCAATATAAACTTTACACATTATTGTAACGAAAAAATGATGATGAAGGATGAATTAAAATGTTAGTGAAGGTGAGAGACGGTGATGATACACTTAATTCTAGCCCTTCCCATCATTTAATCGTTATGTGACGATCAATGATAGAAGTTAGACTAGTGTTGATGGTATTACACTTTATTCTATTCCTTCATATCATACAATCGTCTCGTTTACATATAAAGCACACGTTTATATACACAAGTAGAATAAGAGATGATGACAATAAAGATGATGAGACCAAGCAGAAAACTGTAAGAATGAACAAGTGATGAGGCCAAGGATATTACAATATAAGAGTGCACAAGTGACAAGGCCAAGGAGAGAAGAGATATAAATGAACAATAGAGTATGAATGCATAAGTGAGAACAATGCACATAATATAAGTGTGACTGATGATATAGAATAAGAAGCACATTATAATAGAAAGAGAACAAGGTTCAATCAATGATAGATAAGAGTAACACGTTGTGAGCACTATGTACCCTTGATCATACAAGAACGCACTGAGAAAGAAAAGATCTCAAATAAGATTATAGGCCTATTGGCACAATTATTGTATACTATTTACACTCTCTACTTGGCGTTCTTCTTGGATCATCATATTGATGGCAGCTGCTAGCTCACCACATTATACAGAGGAGGTTATTGCCGATGTAGGAGATTCAAAGTATGTTCAACTTGTGTATGATACATGGACACCTCGGCCTCACTTCATAGTCGTACAATATAAACCACAAAGAGAAGCCAGTTCTGACGAACTCCAAGCCACTTATGAACTTATTAGTCGTTTCCTTCGTACAAATCCACAATATGATAATGAAGCTATACTCTCCTTTCATCGTGGAAAATGGTATCAAAAGCATACAGGCGATTGGCATGCACATTTATGTGTACCTAAAGAACCTTACTTGGAACAAGCCAGAATTAAGGTAGTTCGATTTATTAACTTTAGCAACACTGAAATAATTTGAAAACTTTATGAGAGAAGAAAAAAAAGCAGTATGAATAATTAATAAGACGTTAAGTATGACATAGACTGAGATTTTGTCATCTTTGAAATATTTTTTGCAATTTCATAGTAACAGCTTCGAAAGAAATCGTTAAAACTAAAGATAAAATAACAAATTAATGATAATAGAAAACACTTATCTTGACTTTTTAAAGATCACGGAAATTCCAAATAACAAGGAATGGAAAGGTGCTCGAACAATTGACGAAGGAATTAATAACTGGTACAGAAAAAATGAGCAGGTTTGCATCAACTACAAAAATGATTGTCTTCGGGAAAAAATTTCAGGCCATACTTTAGTGGAGGACGTTCATCTATCTACGCTTGATGCAAATTCAAGAGAATTCAAACTTATTTGGACATCTCCAGCACCACACATTGGGGTTAAGGCTTTATCTCCTACTACAACAACACTTGCTTCTCTCTATAAGTTTATGTCAGAGGTTCGTGCTAATGCTGAAAAAAAATTAGGCCAACATGATTCAAAATTTGCTAATTTTGGCTGTCATCTTTGTTTATATGTTTGTGGTCAATCAGGCATGACTGTGACATGTAGGCAAGGTCAAGTTTTTACAGAAAATGGAGAGTTGAGTACAGATTCGGATATTGTCGGCTACATTCACATGGAGGAGTCTCAGTACCTTCAGTGGTTACCAAACACTTTAAGAAAAAAATGGTGTGACGAATTTAGGCGTACTGATTACTTTGTGCGAACATGATTCCGAAAAAAATATAAAACTTAATAACTTGACCAAGACTTCATCACTATATGTTTATTCGTCTTTGTCTCTATAACATTTCTTAATAATCTATGAATATTATATCAGAATTACTATTATTATTTATAATTTTAATTTAGAATAAACAGTGCTATCATATTTGATGACTCTCTCTCAATTGAAATATACATACATATATCATTTTATACAGCAGCTTGTGACGAGTCGAATTATAGTACTCGTGGAGATAAATCTTACATATTTGATAACTCACATGCTTGAGTTCTTTGTATTCAACACTGATTATTTTGATCATCTTTGCTCAAATTTTGATTTTGAGACACTTTAGTGCATACAATGCTGTGGCTGAGAACACAATCGTACAAACATGCATCTTTTCTAAAACTTGCCCATTATTCAACTCTCCAACTTTTGAGTTTTATTGTTTTCAGCATTAGGAGGTGTCATGGTCGAACTGTTTCATCACTATCTGAATAAAGCCTAGTTTGTTGCAAGGAAACTTTGCCGACAATTTGAGTTGTTTTTCTACAACGATTCGATCCATTCATCGAGCTACACCTACATCTGCAACAAGCTCCATCCAAACGTATATTCAGATTTCTTTTGCGAAAGTTGACCAACATAATGAAAAAAAATGACCCTGATTTTTTTATAGGAAAAATGGAAAAGAAAGTGTTTGATTGGTAATTTGCTTTATGATCTGAGCCACTCATATGACGTAGCTAATTCAATGATGCTCGATGAGCTCAATCGAACGGATCAAAATTCATAAATACCTTAAGTACCTAAACAAATCTGTAACTGAATCGGATGAAATTGATGAGAGTATGGATCAGAGACTGAAGACCAGAAACTTCACCTAATTCACGACTTCAAAAAGCATTGAAATCACAAGAGAAGATCTGTGGAGATTCCGTCGTAAATGTCAAATGATAGAAAAGTTTATTTTCAATTTTGAAATGTTTTTAGATATTATTTATTTGCAAAATTAAAACAAGATTTACATAACTTTGTCACTGCTTTTTATTGTCTAGCTAAGTAAGTTAAAACCGTTGCATACTAGTTAAATATATTATATGAAAAATTCGATGAATACCCAAATGAAAAAAAATTCTAAAGTATTTAGTAAACATGTTCGAATAATATAAAATGACAGTGTTTATATGACATCAATTAAAGATGTTCTGTATATAACCTTATATTTAGTAGTAGCGATAAAATACACTATTTTCTTACACTATATTCACCCAAATCTTTGATTTTTTGTAGGTGTTTTTTTAAAAGAATTTTACCGTGATACGATAAAATTTGCTATTAAATATTTTTATATAGAACTAAATGGTATCAATGCTCGAGTAATTGATAAGAAACTGATTACTGATCCTTGTAAACATAATAAATCTAACCATCTTAAACTACCCAAAAATAATAGTTGTGATTATCAAAAATTAAGTAGTACCGACTACCCGGAAGACTATGAAAATGCCCAAGATCAACTTGTAACGCTTTTTAAAACTGGAAAAGTTCTACAGGAATATTCACTTGAGACAATACGACCTGCCTGATATATTGATCTTGATCGACTGAATTCTGTGCATATCATGTAAATGAATTTTTCTTTTTTAATATCCTATTTTTTTTCTTGACATTTGTAAAAATTTGTGTCCGCCTTTTTTATGGCCATGAATGATGCCTAGAAAAAATAGTGAACTCTGATTTATCATTTTTATAATTGAGTTTTAGACTATGAATTATGAAATTCAATATGAATTGATTATTCAACGTTTTATTGAGTATATTCAAATTAAAACAATACAGCATAAACTAGAGTATAATAAAGCATTTGAATTTTTGAAAAACTACTTTTGAAAACTTACCTTGGGTTTTTATTTTCATATATTTGGAATGTATGCATTATATGTACTAGTAGTCAGCATCACTTTTTTCAATTGATAAATCCATTTTATTCAATTCATATATTGATTTAATACGAGTTTTTGACAAACTTTGGATGTTTCTACCATCGTTAGGTGGATTTCGTGATGACAACATCTATGACTTGGACACACAAGACATGAAATTGTATTTAAGTTTATTCTAATTCAGTAGCAAAAGTCGAATGGTTTTATTTGCATATAGGATCATCAATTTTGAAAACACACATAAACTGCTACGATGAAAATTATAGTGATAGAATTGAAATTTTTTATGAAACATAATTAGAAATTTTGATAAATAAAACAAGACTATGAAAAGGTCATAAAGTCTCATTTCGATGAATGAATACGATAAAAAAGAAGTGAATGAAAGGAAATTAGTTATTAAAAACAATAAAATTCTTTTGTTGTCTTTCATTCTACTAGCATACATCTGGCGAAGTGAAAAAAATTCGGAATGATATTAACCGTTTTGTTCTTAGATGACTACGATTCAAGAACCGTCAGCCAAACGAAAATACTGCATAGTAACGCTAGAAACCATTGTCTACTATAAAATTTAAGGATTCAATATCGGTAAGAAAACGTCCAATTATTCTTTATTAAATATTACATATTTTAAAACAGTATCAAGTAACCTTCTTGCACATTTCTACGATAGAATATAAAGACATATTCACGATTCATATATCAACTATTCAAAAACATTCAAAAACTTCAACATGTATATAGAACTTTAAAATATGTTACTTCAAACTATCATAGAATTCAAGAAAATAGAACAGAGTTCAAGTAGTTCTATCCATGACAAGAGAGTAAAGTGGCATGTATAACGTTAAAAACTATTGATCAATATTAGCACGAGCTAAAAGAATTCAGTAAATCAGAAACATATAAGTAATATTTGATCTTTACAACCGAATGCGAATGAGAGCGACGTATGAATTGCTTCCAGTTAGATTGCACAATATCTCATTAAAAACTGCTTGTGCCAACAGATACCTAGTATAACATGATCACAATGTTGTCGCATGTATCTTCACGTATTGATTGTGTTGAATTTCTTGTTCTCATTGAGTTTCCTTGAATTACCTCTCATTTTCTTAAATCGTCAATTTCTGGATCTTGATTATTGTTACCCGGTCGTGTTAATATCACCAGGAACACAGTCTTAGTGGGTACTTATACAAGAGAAGCGAACGAGAAGCACACCTCGTTCAGCTCAACACCATAAGCAAGTAGTGATATTGAGAAGAAAAAAGGAAGGAAGTGAAATGTTACGTTCACTAGTCGCTTCCCTGAGCAATTAAAAAAACTCGAAGTAACGATACTTTTTTTTCGTTCTTGCCGTATCAAATGTGAATGCTTCGATAGAAATCTAATACAAAACGAAAAATCAATGATGAATAATGTTTTTCTTGCGAAGTTTATGGAAGAAGAAAGTATATCCCATGCATTGTTAATAAAGTCATTGCGCAGACGAAAAAAAGAGAAAATACGGAAGAATAGCAATACAAAAAATGATGCTGTTAGCTTTTTTCTTTTAATTCGTTCTGACGCTCAGAAAATAAATATTTTTGTTCACTCTCTCTCTCTCTGTGTATCTCTTGTTCGTTATCATAATATTTTCAGCAGAAACAAGGCGGGTTCGTCCTTAATAGTTATCAAAAACATATGATACCTCTAACGTAATAGAAAAAAAACGAAAAAAAAGTGAATCAATGATGATATAAATAAAAGGAGTAGTGTCTGCCTAAATGACAAAATAGTTATTCATAATTATCGATTGACGATTCATTTATCAATCATAACAATATGAATGTATATAAATCAAAACAGCCTATGCCTACATCACCCAGAGTCTTCGTAACAACAACATCAGAATGAGCGGATATCATCCAGCCAAAACAGTAAATTATACAAAACTTCGTCTTAACATGGTTGGATGCCAATATTGATCAAACTGATAAAGAATATCAAAGCATTTTGACACAACTGCAAAGCGTAGCTAACGACATTCATACTTTCATACGATGCGATGAATGTATCGACTTCCCCATTGAAATCGATGATAGAATGGCGTTTCTCATTGTATCGGGTGCTAGAAGACAACAAATCGTACCTCTCATCCATGACACCTCTCATCTTGATAGCATTTACATCCTTTCTTGAAACAAAGCTCGACGCGATGATTTGAGGAAAATTTCAAGCAAAATTGAGAGCGTGTATACGGAACTCACACCTATCTGTAAAGCATTACAAACGGCCATCAAATAACACAATCAAGATGACATCTCAGTAAGCTTTGTAGATGTGAATGGAGAAAGTTTCAGCCTAGATCAAGATCAATTGGAACCTTCATTTATGTATACTCAGCTAATTAAGGAAAGTCTCCTTGAAATAGATCGTAGCGAACTAGAAATCAAGGATTTTGTTCAGTTCTGGCGCAACGAATATCCCAACAATGCCGCTGTATTGAAGTGTATCGATGAATTCGAACCTGATTATTGTCCACAATCATCAATTTGGTGGTACACTCGAGAAACGTTTCTCTCCGAGATGCTTAACTGGTCTCTTCGAACACTAGAGTCTCAAACAATTCTCAAAATAGGCTTCTTTATTCATGATCTTCATTGTCAACTTAAAGAGTTACACAAAGAACAAGTCAGGAGTTTTCAGAGAAAGCCATTTATTGTTTACCAAGGTCAAGGCTTATCTACCAATGACTTTCAAAAACTTCAGTAAACAAAAGGTGGTCTGATATCCTTTAACCATTTTTTACCCACAAGTCGTGATCGATATATTGCCCTTTGCTACACAGAAGGTCCTGCAACAGCAAACGACATGGTGGGTATCGTCTGGCTAATATCCATTGATCCCACCGTCACATCAATTTAGTTCGCCTCCACCCAGAACGTGAGTTATTTCACGGAAGAACAAGACATACTCTTCTCAATGCACACTGTTTTTCATGTCGGTGAAATTACACAGACAACCAGTAACAGTCGTTTTTAGGAAGTTCAGTTGATACTTGCAGACGATAATGATCTACAACTAGCTACTCTCACCAAACACATACGAAGCGAACTCCGTGGATCCGCAAGATGGCAGCGATTGGGTGATCTGATGCTGACAATGGATCATTTCAATCAAGTTGAAAAACTCATCCTTGAGAGAAAATTTTTATTTTTGCTTTTTTGTTCTTTTTATATTTCTCTTTCGACATACTTTTCTGGAAGTTTTGTTTTAGAGTGGATGTGGATTTAGGTACACCCACACTCTCTTGATAATGATGGTCTTCATGATAGAAGTATAGATCGGAGTTCTCAAGGAAGACAAATATAGTATGTTATTTTATTTATAATTAAGTACTGTTTTTCATTATATTCAATAAAGTTTGTTGCTTTACTACAAAAATTGTAATAGACATTTCAATTTAAGTGTGTTACTCAAAAAAAAAACTTGCTATTATTACTGATAAAATTCATGCTTGTATCTATTCATTATTTTTACCTATTGTTAAAATCACACATCTCTAATGAATATTCTATTAATAAATAGGTTCGAGTATATCGATTGTACATCTTAATGAAGCTGGTTATTCTAATTGAAATGATTGATCTTTTAGAATTTTTAGAATATATTTATATTCACTAAGAACTTTCATTAAGAAAATCTTTTATTGTAAATTGACATACCCATTCTATATACGAAGAAAAATTAATAAAATAAAACTATGTTTTGAACCACATAAAGAAAAGTTCCTTTGCTAGTTGACTGAATGATATGCTGAAGTTTCAATTGATTTCATTCTTATACGAGTAGAAGTTATTAGCTGTCACTAAGTTACATAATCGATATCTTTCTTGTGGAAAACTTTAACGAATTTCAAATACATATTCAAGCCCGTCTAATCGGAGAAAAATTAGCTAATGATTCAAACTATTATTTATTTCACAATAAAAAGGAAGGTTGAGTCTTTTTGGAATAGTTTATGATAGGAACAAGATAGAGATCTGCAGTTTTCACCTCTTAAAAGTGGAGATGAAATTGCATCGAATCATTTAGACCAAATCTTTCTATAAAGTTTTCTCAGGAGCTCTTGTAAAGTTTTTTAAAAAACCGAGGCTATTAAATAGACTTTTGAGGAGGATTTTGCGTCAAAGAATTAGAAAAAAAGTCAATTTTTGTGAAATATCTGCCGATAACACATATTAAAATGTTTATAATTCAAGATTGACTAAACCTTACAAAATCAAACTGACACAATTTATAGACTTTCAGTTAGCCATTTTAGTGCTCTTATGAAAATAAAAATACTAAAGCTGTTACATTATATATTGTTTTGTATTTAATACACTTGATGGCAGACACTGAGAAAACTTGTCAGAAAAAGCTGATATATATGATTCGATGCAGTTTCATCTTATTGTTAAAACGATGAAAATAGTAGATTTGTATCTTGTTCCTATCAGAAGCTATTCTGAAAATACTCACCGTTCTTTTATTTTGAAATGGATAATAGTTGACACTAGCAATATATTTAATTTAATATAAGAATTAGATTTACTGAAACAAAGACTACGCTAATGTGCTGTCTTGGTTACAGATTGATTGAACAGTGCTTTATGTTCGATCTTTTCTAGATCTTCAATAAACAATGTCAATTATTGGTTGACTATACCGAAAGAAAGAGAATCCAAATTAAAAATTGACATTAATTCATTATGTACACTTTGTTTTTGGTTAAACATGCAGTTCTGTTCACACTTGAAAAAATTAACAAAAATTGTCGTTGTTCCCATACAATACGGGTATATTGATTCTATTGAAATTCTTCACCCAACCATATTAGTCAGAGAATAGTGATATACTGAAAAAATACAGAGAATAATTAGTGTTACAAATACATTTGTAAAAGTGATTCGATCAAGCTTCCCAAAATAGCACAATCATGATGAATATTCGCATATGTTTTTTTTGTGTTTCTAATAAATAAAAGAATTATTATGATAAATAGATAGCTTTTATTTTTTCTAAATTGCTGGTTTTTATATATATAATATGATCAATTAGAAGTCAAATAACAACAGCAAGTGAGAACTAAAAAAGTGCATGAAATGTAAATATACAATGCTTGATACAAACAGCGAAGATATGAGCAGCATGCAAGAAATTATTTGTTTTGAAAGTTATTTCTTGTATGATCGGTAAGCTATTATTGGATAATAACCAAGAACATTCTTTCCTGGATAGTTGTTCTAAAATCATGAGAAAGAATATGATATATATATTCAAATCAAAATTCCAGATAAAATGATTTAAGAAACTTTCTAAACTACACACGTGATTCATGTTCAAAAGTTTATCTTTATTATTTTTCTGTTGTCATGAATAATGCAACTAGATGCATCATATCAATTTACGTTTTTAGTTCCAATGAAATATAGCGAACAACACTGGTAGAAAATCAACTTTCCTAGATCTGATCTCCCACATTTTTAATCAAAAAGGTTATTACTATTTAGATAAGTAGAAAAACAATATCAGAGCATGTTAGAAATTTATACAAATTTGAGTCTTAATCAAATTTACGTAATACAGTTAAATATTTATTAAATATTTCTGAATTTAAATTGTTGGCCATCAATCTTTTGTGCAAGACAATACTATAGATCAATAGTCTGAACAGCAGTGTTTGTTATGATATGTGCCTTTGTAGAGCTCAGTCAGCTGATAATCTCGCTGACAAAATATTTATCATATTACACATTACAGTTGCAAAGTTTACCATAATCGAACTTTAGAAAAAAAAATCATTGTATCTTCTGATTTTAGTAATCTCTATTTCTATTCTAAATTTTAGTAGTCAAACATTTAATCTCGATTTCACCATATATAGTTTTACATATTTGAGCTGAACCAGAAATCCTTGATTTGGATCTTTTCATGTACTTCAATATCACTTGAAATGCTAATATAAAAAAAAATCAAATAACTGCATAAGTTTGATATTGCCTATATTTCGAATAACTCTTGTAAAGTCTGAAGTCTCATATTCGGATCAAACATATTATGTTTCACAATGACAAATATTCCATTTCAATGTCTCTTTACTCATCCATCAAAAAAAAAAAAAATCTTTTTTTGTTCTTTTTTTAATATTCTTATTTAGTTCGTTTTACTTTGTTAGTTATCGACGCAGAATTTCCAGTAGTGGTAGAATAATTTGAAAATGCTGAAGCACCCGATATTCGTGGTAAAAAAGGCATTGGACCATTTTTATTTGTTTGCATATTTGTAGGTGAGCGATGAGGTAAACCGTCTGTTCCTACTGTCGAGAAACTACTATAATAAGGTTGAGTTTGATTTTGTTGAGAATAATGATGATTTGAAATTGTAGATTTTGTTTTTGTTTTTGTGTTATATTTATGTTGCATAGGTTTTTTTATTGATTGGCCCTGAATTCGAGTATCAACCAATGATTGAGCTTTTGGCGGAGGATAAAGAATCTGAATAAAATAAAATGAATTGATTAATTAATAAAAGAGGAAAATAAAGGAAAATAAATACTCCTCTAAAATCAGGTTTAAGAGTTTGTTGATGTCCTGTAGATGAATTATATATATTTGATCTTGGTGATGTACTTGTTTCATCAACACTTGATCCACTACTACTTGAATCGGATCGGATATAACGATCTTCACTTGTTTTTGTTACTCGAAGAGCTGCATTCCATAGACTACCACCTTGTTCTTTCATTTGTTCATTTTCTTGATTTCTATTACGAAAAATTAAATATTTCTTTTTCTTGTTAAATCATTTTATTTTTCTTACCGTATCGCATCAAAATATAGATGATGAAGAGCTTGAGCTGCTGATATACGATGATCTGGATCATATACACATAATTGATTAATTAAATCGATTGTATCTGATGAACAATGTGTGAGATGACGAGCAATACCCGTACCACGACGAGAAGGGAAATTGAAATCGACTGCGGAATTTCGACTAAAAATTTTCTTCATTTATTTGCCATAAAAGAAAACAAATAAAGCGATTTCGTATATTGAGCATCGTTTCGAAAATCAGCACTGAGAATTATTGGTCCTCTTTCAAACCTGTTTCAACGCTCGATAGTTTTAGAAATGTGCAAATTTTTACACGTAAAATATAACTATGTATACGCATTTGTGTTAGAAGATTCCACGACAAATCAAAAGTTATATAAAAAACTTACTGTTGAAATTTATCTAATGTGCTAGCTGGTGGTGTACCTAATACATCATGAATTTTATTAATTTGATCTAATTCATTACTGCCAGGAAAAAGAGGTCGAAGCGTTATTATTTCAAACATAACACAACCTTTACATTGAATAAAAAAAATTTTTTTTTTAAACAAATAGACTAGCGTCTAATATTTACCAGCAGACCAAATATCCATTTGATTTCGATAATATCCATCTGTTAATAAACATTCAGGTGCTCGATACCTATTTAAAATAAAATATAATAAAATAGATATAATTTTGTGGAACACAATCTGAAAAAAGTTTTCAAGTACGGGTCGTATCACTGAGGAAAACTGATATTTGATAAAATTAAACTGTTCGATAAATAAACTAAATATTTTGTCTGAATCAGCAAATTCAGCCCTATACAGCGGTAAAAAAAGATTTTTTTCTACAGTATCGTCCGAACGTTTAGTCTCACAAAATGAGCAATCCAGTCTCTTAACTTTTCCAACTTTCGTTAAAATGTTGTTTTACATACGGTCTCTAATTCCTGCTCGAGTAAGCATTCCTGAACTGCATAATGAGTTTCCAAAAAAGCTAGATTTTTCAGTTCTTTTTGGGTTTGAAAAAAGAAAACACTTAATCGACAAAAAATAGTCTATTCTGAATCATTATATTAAACTGCTTTGAACGATATTAAGGCAAAACAAGTTTGAAGAAAAAAATTTTCTCGAAAAAATGAGGGCAAGGATTCCCCTCAGGCATTTTTCATTAAAATTTTTTTGCGTGAAAAAAAAAACGTTTCTGAATCATACTCAATCAATTCTGAGCAAGAAAGTCAAATATCGGTCTAGTATGTGAAAAATGTACTCTGTGCTTCCTTCACAGGCCGAGATAGGTGTAGATATATGATTACAGATCATATATCCATAACGTTTTGTTAAGTTACTTCTTTATTGCATTTCTGAAGGATCTAATCCAAGGATAATGAAGAAATGTGTCCCAAAAAATTGATAGAATACAACAATTTATATAAATTACCATCGAGTAGAGATGTATTCAGTAAATGGTTGTTTTGATAAAGTTTGTCGACAAGATCCAAAATCAGCTAATTTTAAAATATCATCTTTAATAAGAATATTTTCTGGTTTAACCTAATCATACAAATACAGAAATGTTCGTCTAATATTCATTTTTTTTTAAAACTTACATCTCTATGAAAAAATGAATGTTTATATTAAAAAAAAGAAATTATTTCTTATTTAAAATTAATTTTTTTAAATTTTTTTCTATTACTTATGGAGATATTCTAGAGCTTTCAGTAATTGATACATAAATTTGCATACAGTTTCACTTGGTAGTAATCGTTGTCGACCACGAATATATTCATATAAATTCATAGTCATTAATTCAAATATTAAACAAAGTGTGCCAGTTCGTTTATCACTAATAAATATTAATTAAAAACGTCATGTTTACAAATCAAACAAAAAGAAAACAAGTTGATTTACAAGATAATTTCACGTAAAAAAATTATATTCGGATGACCATTAAGTTGTTTAAGGACACGAATTTCACGTATTTGATGAATTTCATCCATGCTTAAAAAAAAACAAAAGATGAAAAATTAATACAAAAAAAAGTCTCTAAATATCTGATTCTTTTACCTTTTATATAATTGTTTCATTTTTTTAGCTGCCCAAAATGTTCCATCACGTACATTTTGACATTTTAATACTTCGGAAAAGGTACCCTCACCTTTTTTACCAAGTATTCTATACTCTTTAAAAAAAAAAAGAACACAATATTAAATAAGTTAAATTTTAATAATTTTCAATATCTCTCTTACTTTCCATTGAAGTTAATGATATCACCGGTAATTAAAATTTTCGACTAAAAGATTACCATTCATAATCTATAGCATGTATATTTATATATACATATATATATATAAACAAAATAGCAAATGATTTTTTTTTATTTTGAATGTTAATGTTTGAGTGTTTGAAGCTTTAAAAATGCTGCGTATGTTATATTTTCTTTTTCAATTGAGACAAGTGAAAATCTATAAAAAAAAAATCATTGCAGAAGAGAAGAAGAAAGATGTGAAGAAAAAAAAACGTTCGAGTACTTCACTCATATAAACATAACAAGAAAGTTGCTTTGCTTCCAGAAGAATAATAACAAGTTCATCTGTTTGAAAAATATTTTAGCGTTCAGTTTAAATTTTAACACCTTTTAGTCAGTCAATATGGTTTCATTTTTTTTTTCTCATCATATATATTTACTTGACAACTAACTAATCAACAAGGAATTAGATCGATTTACAAGTATTTATCTACTTTAGAAAAAAAAGGAGTTCACACTACTGTAGTATTTGTTCGTTCTTCTTTTGCTTTCAAACATGAATTGTGCTGTTACTAAGGTAACAACGGTCCTTTTGTTATTCTTCAATACAATGCATAGGCGTAACGTTTGAAGAGAATGAAAGCTGTTGATGTAGATAAAAGTAAGTTTCATAGTATTTCTATTAAAAAAAAAGCCTAGTCAGAAGTCAATATATGGAATATTTATATGAGAAAATAAAAATTAGTTAAAGTGTTAGACAAAGTACGATTGAAATCTTCTTTTTTTTTAGCTCAAATGAGAATATCTGTCAGATTTATCAATAAGAAGCTTTAAAAATATAAGCAATGTTGTTAATTCTTTTTTGTTTTAATAATATGAATAATGAGTTTGCTGAATAGAATATATCATGAAATTGGAAATGAATATGATTGTAATCTTCTATGGATTCTGTTTATGTCTGTATTAAAGAAAGCTTATGTTAGGTTATTTTGATCTGATCCTGTCAAAATATTCATTTTGTAAGACTATTCGTAATCATTTATAACAAACTGAAAATGGAAAACTAAAATTACTTCTAAGAACAAATGAAACAACTAAGTAAATTATGAACTATAATTCAGTAACGTATCTACAGTATCTTTACAAAAGTCTAGAATAAATTTTTATAAATTCAAAAATACATCTAATTTAATTATTAGATTTACAGCATGCATATTAGCATTATTTGTAACCATATCCCAAAGAGTCAAATTTTAAATAGAAAAATAAAACGATATACGAATGCAACTCATGCTTCTTCTTATGGGACTTCATTGATTCAAGAAATTATTTACTTCTATCAAATTTGATTCTTTATTTAGAATTTTGATATTTACTGCCAGGGATTCGTACTTCAAATTACGTTCTTACAGAAGAAATAAGACAAATCAGAAATTTATATATGATACGTTGCGTTCAATTTTTCTGAAGACTCAATAATGATGCATCAACTGATACTAGTCGATATAGGAAGAAATCAATATCTTATTTTTAAGAAATTATTTTTACATTGTACCATTTAAGTTTTTAGTTGTTTTTTTTTTAAATAAAAACTGCATAAAAACTAACATTTGTTTGTTTTCTCTTGACTTAACTATTATTTTTTTTTAAATAGGTGCATAAATTTAACAAGTGCAGTTTTTTCTTCTAAATAAATACCATTATAAAGACTTACGTGAATACTATATAAATTATGGTGACCTGTTAATTCAATCATATTTGATTTAATTATTTCATTAATAAATAATGATTCAAGTCGTTCATTTAGTAGACTATTTGTGACATAATTTAAAGGAATATTTACATGATTACAATATTTTCTATCGATCGTCTATCAATAAAAGCCATTAGATCGATCGATTCTTGCATAAATCAGAGTAGAATTTTTATCTGATAGCTGATTCATTACCTTGAGATCATTTTGTCATTTTATTCAATCAATGCGCAAATGTTAGTGGTGTATAATACACTGATTCAATAGGAACTTGAATTTTATAATAAAATATGATTGATATTGACTTATTTATAGTTTTCTTTTCAAAAAGATCTTCTCGTACTATAACAAGAACAAGACCACTTGTGTCTAATTTTTTTAGTACACTAGTGAATATAACTGCAAACTAAGAAAAAGAAGATAAATAAATATCATTTATATTATTCTTTATTTTACTTTAATAATATTAAAAAGTTTTAGGAGGAAATTCAATGACATATCAAAAACAATTGGTATAACGTTTGCTACAAAGGCAGGAATATCATCGAATTCAATACCATGAATTGTTTCACTGAAACTACGATACAAGATACAAAGTATTTTGTGTTAACTCTCATTTATCTTCACCTGGGATATCTATAAAATAAAAACTGTGAAGATTCATGATTCTGCAACAAGATAGTCGGCTGTTTGTGATAATTTTAAATTAAGAAAACTGAATGGTATAGAATTGAATTGAGCAGTAGTGCCATCTTGAAAACAAAAGGAATGCATAAGAATCTGATTTTGATCTAAGAACATGTTAAGTAAATAAAAATAAAGACAAAGTGCAAAGAACTTCAAACATAGAACAATATTTTCAAAAACAAAAGTTAACTTTTTTATTCATCATATTTAATCCAGAGGTACTATTATCCAAAACTTCTACTTATACTTTCTCTTTGCAAAAGAGGAAATGATCAATTTTAATTATATTTCAAGCGGTAATTGAGCAGATCTTGAACCAAAATTGATTTTATGTATGGAAAGTCCGTTAGCATATTCATCTTTAGTCCTTGTTAATCTTTTTCAATAAAAAAATGACAACAGGATGCTCTTTATTCTTATAGACAATTATATCAGGCTTTATTTTTAGGTCAAGGTTAAGTATTAATGCCAAATATGTATTCATTACATATCCTCTTCTTTCTTTGTCTCAATCATAGGAAAAAGAAGAATCGAAAGGATATTGTTCTTGATATATTTCTTACATGTATCACTTATGATTTGTATGAGTTCAGTGATTAATAAGAACCATATGAATATATCAATATCTATGTTTCATTTGAACAGTTTCAATAATTAATATTAAAATCGAACAATTAGTTGTATTAAGAAAATGAAATTAATTATTCGAGATTTTCATTTCTCATTCAATTATTTTCCATTAGAATAAAAGACTAAAAAGTATCATTGTATGGCTTATGAATTCAGCTATAAATATATAGGGTATATTTTAGAACTGTATTGAAAATTTATTATCGACTTAAAATAGTTGACATAATCAAAACAACTAATCTTGATTATTCGACTAAGCAAAATTTCTCATAAAAAAAACAACCTGAGTAATTTAGATGTAGGTAAGAAATCATATTATTTTGACATTTTGTTAGCCTTTTTTAGAGAGTCCACAAATCAGAAGATAAATGTCTGAAATTAAACTGTTTTCGAGTAATTCAACACTCAATTTAGCATGAAGCTTTGAACAATTCAATCGATCGAATGTATTTCTGTCAGTAGATGAAAGTATACTACTATCACCAAATAGATAAATTGGACTTGTTGGTTTTGTTTATACAATGTACCTTCTCATAAATCAGTTAGTCTCAGAGGATTTCCTAATGAAGTTTAGCTCTTCAATGATAATTTCAAGAAAAGTATAGTGATTTTCGTTTCTATCGATGGCAAACTGAATATAAATAAAGTATTCGATCCTGTGATCAAATTGAAACAATACACTGATAGATATTAAATATTAAAATGTTGAGTTTATATAAAATAGAAAAAAAAGAAGAGAATGTGGTGTTGCTTGAGTTAGATGTATATTATTGTGTAAGAAATCAAGCCTTAATAATAGTATTCATAATTAAGATATAAAGGTAAACTACGACATTCAATCATATTCAAAACTTTTTTTTTTGTAGACAGATAAATTAAAATCAGTTATCCTATGTTTTTTTTTCTTAAACTTTGCTCTACCATAGAACATTATTAGTCTAGATGTTTTAATTTTTCTAATCAATAAACTTAATCTTATAAGATAGCGACATTCACATGCATTTCAAGCGTTTGATTTCCCGCCATATCAATAAATGCTGATTTTTTTTTTGTACATTTTCTTTGTTTTCTCATTTGTTTAATAATAAAATGCTATCGTTTAATTTCCGTTTTCGAACTATAAGTGTTCCTGTCTTGTCTGTATTTAATCCATCTGTTGAATCAGGTTAACTATAGATAGACATATATACACTCAACTATCAAGTAACGTCTTCCTGTTCGAACATATTACATACATCTGTTCAATAGTTAGTTTATTTTTGTTTTCTTTCTTATTCGTTATTCAAACGAACAACAGAAAGATACACCGAAAATTTAAAACTGTACAAGAAAAGAAACAAGACAGAAAGGGTCCATTAACAACAAAAACACACACACAAACAAAAAAAAACAAAACATAATGGTTAAATAAATGTATCATGTGCATCATTTTGTAAAATAGTTGTAGTTTTTATACCTGTTCTCAATTGTTTAATAGTTGTACTTAAATGTGGATATGAACGTGTTTGTTCATCAATATCTTGTTGACAACCAAAACGAACTTGTTTCGGTGATGGTTGTCCATTTGATGTTAATGACGACGACATTGTACGTCTTCCATTACTACTATTACTTGTTGTACTTCCATTAGTTTCAAATGTTCGATAAGAATTAAAATCAATAAATGTTGATGTATTTAAATTCTTTGGTGTTGTTCCTGTTGCTATTGAACTTTTATATAACCAATCTGGATAAAGAATTTTTTCAATTGACCATTCATTATTATTATCAATGATAGATCTTTGCTGTTGTTGTTGTTGCTGTTGTTCATCAGTCCATTCATCAACATCTATGATAAATATATTAAAAATTTAGAAAAGAAAAAGATTAAATCAGAGTTGGACAAGTACGGGTACTTGTCCAATTGTGTAAAAAGAAGAAAAAAAAATCAAAATTTAA